TGTTACATGTAATTTATATAGTTAAGAAAAAGAAGAAAAAAATTTCCATGCTTTTAGGCACGTGAAATTGTTTTTCATTTTAGGTTCAATTCTGAGATTTTTGTGTCATGCAGGAGAGGAGAATATAGGTCCATGGAAGAATGAAATCTCTGAGGCTGCAGAAGCACCAGGGCCAACAAGCACGCTAGTGTTGGCGGCAAACAGGACCAAAAGGCCAGATGTTCTTTGCGGTTTCAGGCAATATCTTGGTGGCTGGGATATTAACAACCAGCATTACTGGGCTGTAAGTCTTGCTTCTGTCTTATATCCTATAGATTTTTATTTTTCTGTTTTAATGTGAATACTGGAGAACCGGATCATTCACTGCTAAAATGGATACTTATGTCATATGTGAGTAGTCTACATGACTATATGTATGTGCTAGGTTGCTGAGGTTAGATATAAATTCAATAGGATTGGAAATATATGCAAAGATTATGATCCAGAAACTATGTTTTAATGCTGGATGATTGGATAGATATGATCTTGTTGTTTGGAGGGACTTTATGAAATGGAAGAGAAATAAACTGGTTTGTCAACTCTTGGGATTGTTTATAATCTTTCAAAATGGTTGGCCAACTCTTGGGACTTTGTGAAATAACTGTGCTAATTTTTAAATTTCTGAACTTGAGTGGGTTGAGGGATTAGGAGTATTATCGGAAGATGTGTTGGATGGAAGTGATTGTCAAATTTTTTGGAGAGTATCTGTGTTCCTCTGTTAATTGTCTGAAGGAAGACTGCTCTATTGACTGTCATAAGGCAATGAGTTTATGTCAATGGAACCTATGGTAAATTATACAAAGTCTCAGTTCTGAAACTGCCAACATTTCTTCACTGATGACTTGGATCAAAAGAATGGTCCAGATGTTCCTGATAACCTTCTAGAGACCTAGTTACAATCCAATTGTGAAGCAGCACTTTTTTTTATCCATGCTTTCCCCTCCAAGGTTCAAATTTTCAGTGGTGTAATGTGTTGCTTCCATCTATCTGACTAAATGTCAAACCAGTGTTATAGAAAGTACAATTTGTTCAGTAAATCTTTTTTTTTTTTTTTTTCGGACTTCCAAGTTTGTGCATTTTGAGCGACTTATAATTAACATATCTTCATCAGTGTTTTGACTATCATTTCCATAGTCCGTAGGATTTACAGGTGCCGCAGGATTCATTCTCGCTGTCCTGTGGTTTGTTTCTTTTGGCTTTGTTCTTGCCATTCATCATTGCTGTGGATGGAGAATAAACATCAAGAATCATGGAGCACATTATTCACAAAGGATTTGTCTTGTAATCCTTATACTATTCACATTTGCAGCTGCGTAATTATCCGAACTTAAGAACTTTTACTACCATGGTTACATGCTTCAATTGGTTTAGTTTTACATCTTATTTATATTTTTACTTTTTATAGTTCTTTATATTACTTAAAGATCATTTATGTTTTCTCTCTGGCATGCATAATTTGTGTTCTTCCTGCTAAACTGTACCTTTTTTTTTCTCCCAAACTACCAGGATTGGATGTATTCTTCTTTCTGTTGGGCAGGATAAATTTCATGGTGAAGTGCTTCATACATTGAAGTATGTTGTCAACCAGTCAGACTACACAGTGCAAACCTTGAAAAATGTTACAGAGTATTTGTCCCTGGCGAAGACTATTAATGTGGCACAGGTTTTCATTCCTTCTGATGTCATGAATAATATTGACAAGTTGAACATAGATCTGAATACTGCAGCAGACACACTTATGGAGAAGACAAGTGAAAATGCTGCAAAAATAAAAAAAGTCTTCGATGCTGTGTATGTTACCCAGAATCTTTTATCAAATCCTCTTTGGGAATTGGTATAAAATTTCTAAACATTAATTGTTTCATTTTACATTTTGTTCAGACGATTGGCATTGCTCACTGTGGCAGCGCTGATGCTTATTTTGTCTCTGGTTGGTCTCTGTAAGTGTCGTGGAAATATTTTGACCAACATCTAATCCATTCTGTTCTTTGTTGTTTCCTTTCAAAAATTTATTTAGTGTTTCCTGCCTGAAACTGAATGGCTTATTTTGTCACAGTGCTGTCTGTCCTTGGGCACCAACATGCCATTCACATGTAAATTCTAACTTTTGTTGGTAAATTTTTCTTAAAACAATGATCCTACTGTTTCATATTTCTCTTTCTAACACCACCAACATATTGTTGCAGATTTGTAGTCAGTGGATGGATCCTGGTGGCAGTTACATTCATTCTGTGTGGAGTTTTTGTTATCTTCAATAAGTAAGATTGTTTTTAGATCCTTGATTAGGAGATTTCTATTTTGTTCTCCCACTTCTGTGCCTTCTTTACACAAAAGTAGGATGTTCAACATCCAACAACCATTTGCATGCTTCAGAAAATCTAAGTTGAGTGCAATGTGTGTTGGCCCCTTGCATTCAATGCTTAAGGGGTTTTATGCATGGTTATAGCTGTAAAGTGGATTTTAGCCAGCAGTTCTATTTCTCATGTTGCTTTGGTTCCTATGCCATTTCCAAATTCCATTGTTGTTGTTTATTTTCTTGTACCTTGTGTGAGAAGTAAAACTTCCTTTGTTATCATCAAATTGTTACTCACCTTCTTATAGGTTCTTTATTTATTCTGCATCTTGCACATTCAGTTTTCTTTTGATCTTACCTCCATCACTCTCACTTGTGAAAGTGTACTCTCTTTTGGGTATTTTAGTGCTATTTCTGACACCTGTATGGCCATGGAAGAATGGGTGGAAAATCCCCAAGCAGAGACAGCTCTTAGCAACATCCTACCATGTGTTGATCAGAGAACAACAAATCATTCACTGATTCAGAGTAAACAAGTCATCAATGATCTAGTAAATGTTGTCAATACATACATATATACCTTTGCCAACTCAGATCCTACTAAGGATGACACTACTCAATATTATAATCAGTCTGGACCCCCCATGCCTCCTCTATGTTATCCATTCAACTCTCAGCTACAAGATCGTGAGTGCACCTCTCAAGAGGTGTCTATGGCAAATGCTTCACTGGTGTGTCTCTATCCATTTTATATATCTGCCTATAACTTAAATCTAGCATGCCTCCTCTAGTCTTTGCATGGTTATAATAAATCCTTGACGAGGCATACAACAAAGTTTAAGGAAGCCTTTTTGAATGAAAATGTTGTTCTTCCTAAGTATTGAGGGATGATCTCTTGAACCATGCATTGATGATTAATGATAATACCAAATAAATTTATGTACATTTGAAATTCTCAGGTTTGGAAGGACTATATTTGCAACATATCAGCGTCTGGGCAATGTGTCACCATTGGAAGGGTAACACCAGACATCTATAACCAGTTGGTGGCAGCAGTCAATGAGAGCTATGCTCTTGAGCACTATGCCCCTCCTTTGCTTAGTTTCCAAGATTGCAATTTTGTCAGGGAGACATTTCAAAATATTGCCTCAGATTATTGCCCTCCATTGGAGCAACACCTCAAGTTGGTGAACGCAGGATTGGGTTTGATCTCAGTTGGAGTCCTCCTGTGTCTTGTTCTCTGGATATTATATGCAAACCGCCCCCTAAGGGAGGAAGTGTTTGCGAAGCTATCCTTACCAATAAAGTGCTGGAGTTACAAGAACAACTCAAGCACAAACAGCAACGAGAATATTGTGTCCAGCATGTCAACCGGAGTCTAGATCACATAGAGATTGCAAGATATTAGATTTGTGCTGTTCATTTTTTTTTTTCTTTAATCCAAATTTGGGGAAAGAAGCCAATGTGGGGCGAAGCTCCATCTTTTATTGTATAGTCAATGCAAATCGATTTTCAGCTTCTTTTGCATCATGTTGGTTTAGGTTTGGTTTGGGATTGTTGGGTGCTTTAGGTGACAGTTAGGAAGATTAGAAAATGGAGATGCTATAAAAGATGAGAAAAAAGAATATTGATTAAATTATGATGTTTACATTATTATATTATTTATTTTCAACAATTATTTTTTGATGGTAGTTTGAAGTATTATTTATAAACACTTAATCTATGTTCAAGCTTATTTAGTTTATATTTGAATCTATAAATCTTTTACACATATTAAGTATTATATATTTATTTATACTCTAAAAAAAACTTGTGAGATGTAGTACATTAAGTAGTAACCTAAAAACTCTACTCTTAGTACTCGTGAGTTGTTCAATTGGCGAGATTCTAAACCATCAATGATTTATTTTTAAGTTTGATAATATTTAAGTCATTGATATTTGACTTAAATATTACTATAAATCTTTATTATAATATATGATTAGCTTGATCTTAGACTTTGTAACTTTTTCCTAACATAAACTTTTTTTATTAAAAAAAAAATAACCCCCTAACTATAATTCTTGGTTTTGCCACTAAAAGTAGAGATTCATTTATATAGAAATTTTATATATTATATTTATATAAAATCTCAATTATTAATATTTTTATTTTCAATAATTAAATTTTATTCAAATTTATTAAAATTAATTATTGTTTTTACCTAAAAAAATTATGATAAATCTCAATTATTGAAAGTGAAAAGATAAATAATCAATATTTTATATAAATGCAAAGGATAAGACTTATGTAAAAATAATCCCTCCTCAATTAATTATTATATATAACAATGATGAAGATTTTGGAATGATTCTTGAGCTTAAACTATATACTAGCCAATTCCCTAACTTTAGGTAATCAAGGATTTGCAGCTCACCCACTCATCTCTATAATGGGTCATATATAGATATATGTGCAGTGCAGTTATGGACCCGGCCATCATCATATACCTCTGATTTCAAATAATATAAACCAATAGAAGTTCAGAAGGTCACCAACAATCACACTTATACGTGACATATGCATGCAATTGCATACAATACTAATTAGGTGTCAACATCAGCCCTTATCAGTCACGCAAATTAATCAACCTAAAAAATGGATGGTCGCTCAACTATTCCTACTATGTTCCATATTCATCAATAAATCCCTAAATAAATGGCTTAAATTAATTTTAAAAAACATATAATAATATGGGAAACCAATTAAAGTTCTGCATGCATGGGAAAGCAAAGAATTAGAAGATTTTGCACCCGGTTCTTTGGATCAACTGACAGCCTGTCGGCTTGAGGTGCATTCCTTCTCTTAAAACTCGTTTCTTGATAACTTGTTTAAAAAAAAAAAAGAATCAGAAGATTTTAAGGATTGGTAGCCTATTTAGCTGAGTTGGGACAGCTGCCAAAAAACCATTAGGTAAATAAGAATGATGTTATTAGGATAATTATTTTATTTTATTTTTTTAATATAATTTATACATATTATTAAATAAATAAATATATTTAATATTATAAATCTCATATAAATTAAAAAAATTAATTATTTTAATAATACATCAAATTATATAAAAAAAATGAGATAAAAAAATTATACAAATATCATTTTCGGACAAATAAATAAAAGGGGAGCAAACAGGAAGAACAAGTCAAAGGTAAGAACAACAACAAAATGGATAG